TAGCGCATCCACTGCGCATCTACTGCGTCTATTATCTGCGAGTCACGTGACATCATTTACCAAACGATCACCTGCGTGAATTGACTGCTCAGATTGTAATTGGAGTGCGTAAGTAAAGAAATTTTAAATAAATATGAAATTAACTCAGAAATAAATATTTTTTATTGGCTCTCAATATAAACAATATAAATATGATGGTTTCTAAATTGGCCTAAGAGCCATAGCACGAAAAATTACGAAAATTAATTATTCGGAACTGTATTTCTTGGTACGAGATTACTAAAGTTCCATATATTAATTAACCTCGAACTTACATATGGAGAAATAGGCGCGAAAAATATAGGTCCGAAAAGTCGCTGAAGCGGGAATCAAACCCGCGTCTTTCACTTTCCGGGCGACTGCTCTTACCACTAAGCTATTCAGACTTTTCGGATCTATATTTTTCGTGCCTATTTCTCCATATGTAAGTTCGAGGTTAATTAATATATGGAACTTTAGTAATCTCGTACCAAAGAGATACAGTTCCGAATAATTAATTTTCGTAATTTTTCGTGCTATGGCTCTTAGGCCGATTTAGAAAACATCACATTTATATTAAATATGAATTATTATTTAATAAATATAATAAAATTTTTAAATAGATTGAAGGTTCTGACATATGACGTGTGCACATAACATTTTCAGACAGTGATGACAGTAGGATTGAAATGTGCTGAATGTAGACTTCTCAGATTTTTCCAAACTAACTGGGGACGAAGTAGCTTGATAGCTAGGAATGACTGTAACAGAATTGCATCTTTATACAAAAGCACATTTTTTTGAAACAGATTACTTTAAATTTATATTCTTGATAAAAATGCATTTTTAAGTTAATTGGATCGTAAATATAAATTAACAGATTTCATAATTTTATTGTATTACTTACCTTGCATTACTTTTAGTTTTGTAGGATCTATTTGGAGGAGTTGTTCTCCACCTTCTTTGTTCTGAACTTTTATAACATAACTTATAATTGAAATAATTTTCAGACAACGTTTCCAAGTTCAATTGGCTTAACAATGGAGAAGACTACATTCGTTTACGCAGTAGTCCGCAGTATTGCGAGCAGAGCATCCTGAGCAGGACCTCCGAGATGGCTGCGCAGATAGGCAGCAGCTCTGCTTAAACGAACAACAAACTGCGCTGCAGTCGGTTGCGCAGGTGGAGTAAACGAACGACATCTGCGGCATTCTGCGGCAGTCTCTGCATAAACGAATGCACCCTTTAATACAACAACCTGGTATCTTGATACCTCTTATTTCTCTTCATGTGCGAAGAAGGTTATAACAGGTTATAAAGACTGCACTTAAAGTAGAGATGATTTACACAATGTATACACTATCTACACTTTTCGACACCATCTTGACTCCCATGTATCTTATGAATTGCGGTACTTTGTAATCTAGTGACTTTATCTGAGGCCTGTATCTGTCTCTCTCTTTGCAGGGCTGTCGAAGTGAAGTTGCGGGCCCTACGCAAAACTTTTCTGTGAAATAGTTAACATATTTTTTTGTTTTATTTTAAAAATATTTGTTTTAATATTTACGCATTTATAAATTTATATATATTTTTATTATATTTATATATTTTCTATTATATGTATTTTTAATATATTTACGCAAAAATATATAAATTTATATTAATTTACATTACGCAACAAAACAGCAATTTGTAATAATTTTTTTATACAATTTATATTATTTATTTGTATTATTATATAGTTCAACATCTCAAAACCATTGTCTTTAAATATATAACTTTAAAAACAAGACTGATTAAATGGAAGCACTCTTACAATGCGTAATTCAGAACAAGTTCTAACGAGTTATTGAGTGGGTGCTGACTGCAAGAATTCTGGAAGGAGACAATATAACCAATGAGATGCTAGCAAAAGAGACAAACATAGGCCTCAGATGTAGTCCTTCTCTTTCGATAGCGGGCGCCCGCTTGGCTGTCGCAATGTTCTATCCATTATATATATCGATGGATCGCTCAAACATGCTTCACTCGAAAACGACCTCCATCTATTTAGCAGACAAATTTTACATTTCCCTATTATCAGTTATACCAATCGCTTATAAATTGTTTGGGCACATTTAGAAATAGATTCTCGTAGTTTAGGAAATAATAGTTTATTTATTATTAATTAAAATAGATTGAGCGTATAATTAATAATACAAAAAAACATTCTTTTTTTTTTTAATTAACATAACCGCCCGAATGGGTCTCCACCTAGGCGTGGTAGTGGGGCTTAAGGTCGCGCCCGGATTCACCCTCAGGAGTGACTTCGGGGGCAACCGACTAAGAGGGAGCCCCCAAGCTAAAGTGTTAGCAACCGTGCCGAGGACTGCATGGCGCAGGGGATGCTGCATTTCAAACGGTGCCTCCCGGATGTCGGGCGAAATCCGGGAGTGGGCAGCCAAGCCCTGGCAAACGCGGCTCTGACCGAGTGAGACCGCTCTTCCGCGACACTCATGGGAACAAAATGGACACGAATGAAAACAATAATAATAATACAATGCAAAAAGTCCTCCAGGGCGTGGCTTCCTTAGGAAACGAACGACCGGAGGAAGTTTTTATTGCGGGGGAGGGTTCCTCTAGGACCCACCCGAAAACCCGTCCTCGCTATAGCGGCGCCGCCAGACGATGCTATAAAAAACAGAAGCAGTTTCAGAAAGAGGAGCTGGTACCAGGGACTAAGGCAACTCCTTCCGAGGCTGCTTCAAATTCAAATTCCGAGGGGGCAGGAGGATCGGAGCAGGCCAGGGCGAGCAAACAACCCAGACCGGTGCTTTCGAATACTCCTAGCCTCTCAGATAAACACCCTGACAAGAGGCCCCGAATCAAAGATCAGGGGTCTTTTGCTCAGACCACAAAGGGAATTGTCAGGTTGGCCGTCATTGGAGACGGTTTCCCTCACAAAAAACTGGGTGACGGGGAAGTGGCGGAGATCAGGAAGCTGATCAGGGGTCGCATCATAGCGCTCCAGAAAGGCACCAAAGCTCCCACCTTCACCGACTCCTGGATCAGGGATGGGGCGCTCATTTTTGCGTGCGCCAATGATGAATCGGCAAACTGGCTGAAAAGCCTCTTCGCCGATCTCAGGCTGAGAAATGTTCCCCTCCGTGTGCTGCCGGTCGATGAGTTGCCAAAGCGCCATCGGGTGGTGGTACACGTGCAGGAACCGGATTTCTTTGTCAAGGAAGCAATTGAACTTCTTGACAGACAGAATGTGAGCCTTGCCTCTGGGGATTGGGTGGTCTCAAGCGGGAGAGAAAGTAGGGATGCTTCGAGCTCCCACTTCGCCTGCTTGGTGACTGCGCAATTGCTGGAGGCACTCAAGGCCTGCAATTTCAAACCGTTTTGTGGCTCCACTCGGGCAACTGTCAAGCTGCTCGGGAAGGAACACAGAGAAGGACCTGCTGTTGCAGAGACGTCAAATTAGACCCCATCTATTCTATAGTGGGGCCTGAAGTTCCTGTAACTCAGATTAACTTGCATCATAGCAAGTGCGCCTTGGCAATCTTAGTCAGAAGCATGGCTGCGATGCAAACAGGTATCGCACTAATTCGGGAGCCTTGACTCCTGAAAAATGCTATCAAAGGTTTAAGTGGTTGTGGTAAAATTTGCTATACTCACTCAAACCGCAAAACTAGAACTTGTATTGCCGTCAAGAGTCTAAATGCAATTTTTATGCCACAGCTTAGCTGCGAGGATCTGACGGTAGTCCAGATAAGACTTGATCTTTCGATGGAGGTATCCTTGGACGTTCTAATAGGCTCAGCTTATATGCCCTACGATTCCGAGGACCTACCACCTCAGAACGAAGTTAAGAACCTTATTGCATATGCGGAGGAACGTGGGCTCGAACTTCTACTTGGTTGCAATGCTAACTCTCATCATGTTGGGTGAGGGAATTCGGGGGTCAACTCCAGGGGAGAGAGCCTACACGATTTCATCATGAGCACTAACCTCATCATTCTCAACAGAGATACAGAATTTACCTTCCAGGACTCCAGAAGACAGGAGGTAATAGACATCACGCTGTGTACGGAAAGGGTGGCTGGTCTGGTGACGAACTGGAGGGTCTCAAATGAACCTTCAGGATCTGACCACAGACAGATTTGCCTATTTTTCCGTCACTTACCGGTACATAAATGGTCGAGACATCCGAAGAAAACCGATTGGGAAAGCTATAAGGCCGCTGTATCGGCAAATCTTCGATCGGTTCCAAATAAATTTAATAACAAAGGTGATCTGGATACAGTGACACTTTTTATGAAGGGCGCCATTATAGATGCCTATGAAGCTAACTGTCCGTTAAGGAAGAGCCAGTCCTTCTCAAGAGTTCCATGGTGGAACAAAGAGCTTTCGAAGCTTTAAGTCAAGAACCAGGAAACTTTTCAACCAGGCCAGAAAATCTGGCTCTGCGGCCTGTTGGGCAGTTTAGGATCACCCAGCAGGAATACAGCAGGGCCATCACTTCAGCCAAAAGACGCTGCTGGAGGACTTTTTGCGAAAACATTGAGAGTCTTCCTGAAGCGTCCAAGCTCAATAAAATTCTGAATTCCGATAGCTGCTCGCCAATGGGCTATCTCAAGCACCCTGACGGGCACTACACGGAAAGTCTCACTGAATCTCTCACTCTCCTTATGGAGACTTATTTTCCAGGTTCTCAACCTCTTACGACAAAACACCCTTTGCCCATTATGCCTACACCTAGGGTAGGTTATGTACTTAAGGAATGGGCACTAGCGGCAAGAGTGGTGTACCCGGAGGGTGTAAAATGGGCGATTCGTTCCTTTGACCCCTATAAGGCACCGGGACCGGACGGCATCTATCCCATTCTCCTGCAAAAAGAGCTAGACCTCCTAATAGGCCCCCTCACCAAAATTCTCAGGGCAAGCATAGCATTGAGACACATTCCACCGGCGTGGAGCGACATTAAAGTCTGCTTCATTCCTAAACCGGGGAGAAACGGCCATATTCTGGCAAAAGACTTCAGACCCATCAGCCTCACTTCATTCATATTGAAGACATTAGAAAAACTGGTTGAGTTTTATCAAAACAGAGCCCCTTGCTCATAAGACCCTGTCTTCATGTCAATACGCCTACAGAGAGGGAAGATCCACGGACACAGTCCTACATCACCTTGTGGGCAGCATTGAAACACAACTTACGGCCAAAGGCTACGCCCTGGAAGTCTTTCTAGACATTGAGAGAGCTTTTGATAGCATCTCTTACCCAGTGATTTAGAAAGCCAAGGTCGATCATGACATTCCAGTTGCTATTATCGACTGGACCCTTAACATGTTAACAGGAAGAATTCTTACCGTCAATCAAGAAAATTTGACCTTACAGGCGTTCCCCACAAAAAGCTGCCCGCAGGGGGAGTCCTGTCTCCACTCTTGTGAAGGCTAGTGGTGGATGAACTCTTAGTCAGTTTAAGGAAAACCAGTCTTCGGGTGTTTGGTTATGCTGAGGGGTGGTTTTCTTTTTATTCTCAAGGAGCTTATGGACAAAGCACTCAAAAGGGTACAAAATTGGTGCGCGGCCAGAGAGCTTACAGCTAATCCAAACAATACCGAAGCCATTATCTTCACCAGGAAGTATAAACCAGAGCACATTAAAGCTCTGGAATACTGAAATACAGTATGCCACTTCTATTAAGTATTTGGGAGTCTACCTTAACCCCAAATTGAACTGGAGTTACCATCTTGAGACTAAGAGAAAAAAATTTTACAATTTATTTTGGGCATGCAGGAGGGCTGTGGGAGCAACTTGGGGCATCAGGCCTAAAGTTGCCCTCTGGATATTCAAAGCTATCCTGTTGCTTAGATTGATGTACGCTGCGATAGTCTGGTGGCCGAAAGTTGAAAAGATGGGGGCAAGAAACCTGCTGAAAAGCATACAGGGTAGTTACCTGAGGTCGGCAGTAAGAGCCATAAGAACCACACCAACGGAGGCGCTGGAGGTGGCCTTTTGTATTCCTCCACTCGGTCAAAGGATCATCTGTGCAGCCAAACTTACGACCTACAGGCTCTATTGCCAAAAAGAATGAAAGTGCGCCGGCCCTGGTCATACAGGGCTGAACTTCTTCTTCAAACCTCCCTTTTCTTTGAAACAGAACAAAATCACCAAGAGACACCATCCAAGTTCTGTGAAGTTAGGCTACCAAAATTAGATTTTCGAAGTTTCAATAATTGGAATCAATAGTTGATCTTTTATTGATTATTGTTGGTCACATTTTAGCTTTTGTTGGTTATTAGTTTAATTGTTATGAAAAAATAAATATCAATGTGAAGTTAGTCTACCTAAATATACAATTTTAATAGATTTTAATTAATTATAGGTCAAATCGATAGGAAATCGATTGTTGGTCCCAATTATGTTTTTAGAAATGATTGTTGGTCGATTATTTACTAATTATAACAAAATAATTATTTTTTATTTGCTCACATATACTGCGCATGCGCATATATTTCTGGTCCGTGCTGATGAAGCCATAGTCAAATATCTGTAAAATAAGAAATATTAATATAACAATTTAATTGTCTTAGCCTTTAAAAGATACAGGTACCTAGGGTCTACATTTCTTGAACCTAACAAACTGCAGAACAACAAGGTCAATGATCTGTGCAATCTGGCGATAAACGCCGGTCGAAGCCTACAGGAATAACCTTTCTTCACTAGTGGAGAGTTACAATGAAACTCATAGGGTGCATTCGTTTATGCAGTGACTGCCGCAGAATGCCGCAGATGTCGTTCGTTTACTCCACCTGCGCAACCGACTGCAGCGCAGTTTGTTGTTCGTTTAAGCAGAGCTGCTGCCTATCTGCGCAGCCATCTCGGAGGTCCTGCTCAGGATGCTTTGCTCGCAGTACTGCGGACTACTGTGTAAACGAATGTAGTCTTCTCCATTGTTAAGCCAATTGAACTTGGAAACGTTGCCTGAAAATTATTTCAATTATGAGTTATGTTATAAAAGTTCAGAACAAAGAAGGTGGAGAATAACTCCTCCAAATAGATCCTACAAAACTAAAAGTAATGCAAGGTAAGTAATACAATAAAATTATGATGTCTGTTAATTTATATTTACGATCCATTTAACTTAAAAATGCACTTTTATCAAGAATATAAATTTAAAGTAATCTGTTTAAAAAAAATGTGCTTTGTATAAAGATGCAATTCTGTTACAGTCATTCCTAGCTATCAAGCTACTTCGTCCCCAGTTAGTTTGGAAAAATCTGAGAAGTCTACATTCAGCAACATTTCAATCCTACCGTCATCACTGTCTGAAAATGTTATGTGCACACGTCATATGTCAGAACCTTCAACCTATTTAAAAATTTTATTATATTTATTCTAATAATAATTCATATTTATTTAAAATTTCTTTACTTACGCACTCCAATTACAATCTGAGCAGTCAATTCACGCAGGTGATCGTTCGATAAATGATGTCACGTGACTCGCAGATAATAGACGCAGTGGATGCGCTAATCGCTGCATAAACGAATGCACCCATAGATCTAGGTGACTTTAGAGACCCCTTTTGGTGGTACCACCCACTCTACCTTCTACTACTACTACTACTAATTAACGTAAAATTATTTGGGAAACACGTCTGAAATAGTTTCAACGTTTGGAAAATAATTATTTCACTTGGAAATCAATTTTAAAGTATACGCTTAATGGACATCGATTGGACAAATTTTATATTTTTTATTATTTATTTTTTATTACTGCTATCGTTTGAAAATTATTAGGGCAAATTTAGGAATATATTTGCATAATTTAAAAACTCATAGTCTATTTATAATTAGAGAAAATTAATTGAAAGCGAATAGTTAGCAGACAGAACTTTTAAAAAATCTTTTTTTTTTACTTTAACTGATATGAAATTATTTGGGAAATGCGTCTATATAATGTTTTCAACAAATGAGAAATAATAGTTTAATTTTGATTTTGTCGCGGAAGCAGCCAAGAAATATTTTATAAGGATAAAAGATTCACACAAATTAGTTTTATATAAGATATGGTTTCATAGAAGATTATAAAATCAATTAAAATATACTTCTCGTATAAGAACCAATATTACAATATATTGATTAAATGTTAGTATTGGCGAAAAAGAGCAAGTATAATCAAATCAGCTTTAAAAGATTTTTAAAAATAAATAAATAAATAAAAAGTGATCCGATTGCCAGTTGAAATATTGAAATAAAGATACCAGGGAATCAATTGACCAACACTGGCTAAGATGAAAAATCTTTTATTGAAAAAGACGCAACGTTTCGACCCCGAATTGGGTCCTCTTCAGGCTACAAATTAAATTATAAATCTTAGTAAAAAAATGACAATACAAAACGAATACGGAAAATCATATATATAATAATGGTAAAAAAATACCTGTTACAAGAAAGTAGTAAAAACTAAATGATCATAATGTCAATTTCTTGTCAACGATCAGAACATGACAAGATATCAGTAATACACGAACAGAAATGCTCACTCTGACATATAACATTACATTAAACCGAACAAAAACAATATCTCGAATAAATAACTCAATTAAAAAGAGAAATACAAGTCGACCGAGTAAAAATTTATAAGCAAAAATATATAAACAAAAGGACAGTTTTTTTACTGAGATTTATAATTTAATTTGTAACCTGAAGAGGACCCAATTCGAAACGTTGCGTCTTTTTCAATAAAAGATTTTTCATCTTAGCCCGTGTTGGTCAATTGATTCCCTGGTATCTTTAAATAAATAAATATATATATATATGTATAATAATTATACATATATATAAATATATAAGATATATACAAATTATTTATTATATAACTTTTTTTCGTTAAATTCGTTTTTAATAAAATAATATAATTAAAAATAAAAATATCGATAAAATAAAAAGCAAAAAGATTATATATGTAAATGTCGCATGAATAAGAAATAATGAGAGCTATCTGGTAATGGTATTTTTTATTTTATTTTCATTTACATTAATAAAACGCACGTTTTGATACATAAAATGCACAATCATTCGCATATTTATAAACTTTTGTCCAAAATCTTTTTTTGTTAATTTGTGGCTTATCTTGATAAAAATTATTATATTTATTATAAATTAGATATATATTATATTTATTTATAAGATAAAAATATCGATAAATAAATATATAATAAATAATTTTTATCAAAATAAGCTACAAATTAACAAAAAAAGATTTTGGACAAAATTAAGTTTATAAATATGCCAATAATTGTGCATTTTGTGTATCAACACGTGCGTTTTGTCTGCTAACTATTCGCTCTTAATTAATTTTCTCTAATTATAAATATAAACTATGAGTTTATATTTATAATTAAATTAATTGATTATATAATAAACTATGAGTTTCTAAATTATGTAAACATATTCCTAAATTTGCCCTAATAATTTCCAAACGATAACAGTAATAAAAAATAAATAATAAAAAATATAAAATTTGTCCAATCGATGTCCACTAAGAGTATCCTTTAAACTTGATTTCCAAGTAAAATAATTATTTTACAAACGTTGAAACTATTACAGACGTGTTTCCCAAATAATTTTACGTTAATTAAAAAAAAGATTTTTTTTTTCGAATTATTGTCTGCTAACTATACGCTCAATATATTTTAATTAATAATAAATAAACTATTATTTCCTAAACTACGAGAATCTATTCCTAAATGTGCCCAAACGATTTCCAAGCGATTGGTATAACTGATAATAGGGAAATATAAAAATTGTCTGCTAAATAAATGGAGGTTCGAAACACTATATGTTTTCACAGAGAGTTTGAATTGAGTCAGAGTCGAATTATAGTGAGCACTCTTACGGTGGAAACACCAATAACCCTACCTTATAAAATTATAAGGCAAAGTAATTGATGTTTCCACCGTAAGGGTGCTCACTATAACCCGACTCTAAACTCGACTCTGACCCAATTCGAACTCTCGGTGGAAACATAGTTCATGAGTACGTTTACACGGCACCCTTAATTGGGTTTAATAACATCCATAATTGTAAAATTGGTCAATCACAGCTATTCTCCT